TTTCGTGTAGAGAAAAATCGGGACCTGAAGAACGAAATTGGAATCTCAATTAGAACTGAAGACCGTCATGAAAAAATTAAAAAAAAATCTGTGAAAACTGTAGAGTTATTGAGAGAAAAACAACAAATCTTGGAGAAAGAACACAATTTAAAAGATATAAATATTAATATCTCCAGATATTTCAAGAATAGAAAAAATTGAAGAAAATTTTAGTTCGTGGTGGTTCTGTTAATTACCAAATTCTTTATGATCTGTGTACTTCTCGTAAAATCTTAATTTTTCGTCCAAATTTTCGATTTTGATTACAAATTTAATAATCTTTATGTTTCTTGTTGTCGAAATAAATCTACACATATTAATAAAAAAAAGGCAAAATGTGAGCCCCGCCCACCCACCCGATCTCAATTGTGATGATTTTTTTTATTCGTCGTGAGCCAAGAAGGCGGAGCTTAACTGCAAAATCCATATTTGTCTACAAGAATTTACCATTTTTAACATGTTTTAATTTTCTTGTTCTGAAAAGACGACTATATATATCAAGAAAAAAGGCAAAATTTAAGCCCCGCCCACCCGCCCTATCTAAATTGTGACGATTTTTTTTTAATTGTCGAGAGTCAAATGAGCAGAATTTAATTGCAAAGTCCTTAGTATTTCTTTGCAAGAAATTACCATGTAAGACATGTGTTATTCAAAGAATACTATGTAAATATATAAAGAAAAAATTAAAACCAAAGATCAAGCCCCACCCATACCTGCCCTAATCTAAATAGTAATATTTAGTAGTAATTCATTCGTTGTCAAAATCGAGGGGCGGAGTCTAATTGCAAAATCCATAGTTCTTTACAAACATTTACGATTTTAAACGTGTTTGAAGTTTCTAAATATACAAAAATCATCACAATCGAGATGGGGTGGGTGGGCGGGGTTTATGTTTTGCCTTTTTTTCTCTTAATGTACATAGTATTCTTTAAACAACACAATACTCAAAAACATGTTTTTAATTTCTTGTAAAAAAATAAGTATTTTGCAGCCAAGCTCCGCCCTCTTGATTCACGACGAATAAAAAAAATCATCACAATTGAGATAGGGCGGGTGGGCGGGGCTTATATTTTGTCGTTTCTCTTAATACGTCTATGTAGTCGCCTTTTCAGAACAAGAAACTTAAAACATGTTTAAAATGGTAAATTCTTCCAAGTTGAAGAAAAATTTGGTCCGTCGTGGTTCCTATTTAAATCTTCTTATAGTCCGTGTATTTATCGCAAAGTTTTAATTTTTTGGCCAAATTTTCGCTTTTGATTACAATTTGAATAATTTTTTTTAGCACAATTTTGAGATTTTGTTTTTACGAGATTTAAAGCTCTTTAATTTTTCCTCACGAAGTTTTAGTTTTTGGTCGAAATTTTCGATTTTCATTTCAAGTTGAAGAACTTTTTGTCAAATTTTGAATTTTAGTTTTCATGAAATTTCGGCCTCATTAATTTTTCTCACGATGTCTCGGCTAAGATTTACAGTTTTTCTTCTCAAACTTTTTTCGTGGAGAGAAAAGTTGAGACCTGAAGAACGAAATTGGACTCTCAATTAAAAGTGAAGACCGTCATGAAAAAATAAAAAAAAATTTGAAAACTGTAGAGTTATTGAGAGAAAAAGAACAAATCTTGGAGAAAAAACACAATTTAAAAAATATAAATATTAATATCTCTAGATATTTCAAGAATAGAAAAAATTGAAGAAAATCTTAGTTCGTGGTGGTTCTGTTAATTACCAAATGTTTTATTATGTGTATTTCTCGTAAAATCTTAATTTCTCGTCCAAATTTTCGACTTTAATTACAAGTTGAATAATTTTTTGACATAATTTTGGATTTTTGTTGTCATGAGATTTAATGCTTTTTCATTTTTCCTCACGAAGTTTTAGTTTTTGGTTGAAATTTTCGATTTTTATTTCAACTTGAAGAATTTTTTGCCAAATTTTAGAATTTTAGTTTTCACAAAATTTCGGCCTCATTAGTTTTTCTCACGAAGTTTCATCGAAGATTTACAATTTTTCTTCTCAAGCTTTTTTCGTGGAGAGAAAAATTAAGACCTGAAGAACGAAATTGGAATCTCAATTAAAACTGAAAACCATCATGAAAAAATTTTTAAAAAATCTCTGAAAACTGTAGAGTTATTGAGAGTAAAACAACAAATCTTGGAGAAAAAAAAAACACAATTTAAAAAATATAAATATTAATGTCTGCAGATATTTCAAGAATAGAAAAAATTGAAGAAAATCTTAGTTCGTGGTGGTTCTGTTAATTACCAAATGTTTTATTATGTGTATTTCTCGTAAAATCTTAATTTCTCGTCCAAATTTTCGACTTTAATTACAAGTTGAATAATTTTTTGACATAATTTTGGATTTTTGTTGTCATGAGATTTAATGCTTTTTCATTTTTCCTTACGAAGTTTTAGTTTTTGGTTGAAATTTTCGATTTTTATTTCAACTTGAAGAATTTTTTGCCAAATTTTAGAATTTTAGTTTTCACAAAATTTCGGCCTCATTAGTTTTTCTCACGAAGTTTCATCGAAGATTTACAATTTTTCTTCTCAAGCTTTTTTCGTGGAGAGAAAAATTAAGACCTGAAGAACGAAATTGGAATCTCAATTAAAACTGAAAACCATCATGAAAAAATTTTTAAAAAATCTCTGAAAACTGTAGAGTTATTGAGAGTAAAACAACAAATCTTGGAGAAAAAACACAATTTAAAAAATATAAATATTAATGTCTCCAGATATTTCAAGAATAGAAAAAATTGAAGAAAATTTTAGTCCATGGTGGTTTTGTTAATTATCAAATTTTTTATGATCTGTATATTTCTCGTAAAATCTTAATTTTTCGTCCAAATTTTCGATTTTGATTACAAGTTTAATAATTTTTAAGTTTCTTGTTCTCGAAATAAATCTACACATATTAATAAAAAAAAAGGCAAAATTTAAGGCCCGCCCACCCACCCTGTCTCAATTCTGATGATTTTTTTTATTCGTCGTAAGTCGAATTGTAAAATCCTTATTTTTCTACGAGAAATTACCATGTGAAATATGTTCTTAAATAATCGTGTTACACAAATAAAACTTAAATAATTAAAAAAGAAAACTAAAACAGAAACCACACCCATCCGTCCCCATCTCAATCGTACTGAATTTTTCATTCGTTGTCAGATCGAGGGGCGGAGCCTAATTGCAAAATCCATATTTCTTTAAAAAAAATTACGGTTTTAAACGTATTTCAAGTTTCTAAAAATAAAAAAGATCATCATAATTGAGATGGGGTGGGTGGGCCGGGTTTATATTTTGCTTTTTTTTTTCTTAATGTACATAGTATTCTTTGAACAACACGAGACTCAAAAAATGTTTTTAATTTCTCGTGAAAAATAAGCATTTTGCAGTTAAGCTCCGCCCTCTTGATTCACGACGAATAAAAAAAATCATCAGAATTGAGACAGGGTGGGTGGGCGGGGCTTATATTTTGTCGTTTTTCTTAATATGTATATGTAGTCGTCTTTTCAGAAAAAAGGCAAATTTAAGGCCCGCCCACCCACCCTGTTTCAATTCTGATGATTTTTTTTATTCGTCGTAAGTCGAATTGTAAAATCTTTATTTTTCTACGAGAAATTACCGTGTGAAATATGTTCTTAAATAATCGTCTTACACAAATAAAACTTAAATAATTAAAAAAGAAAACTAAAACAGAAGCCACACCCATCCGTCTCCATCTCAATCGTACTGAATCTTTCATTCGTTGTCAGATCGAGGGGCGGAGCCTAATTGCAAAATCCATAGTTCTTTAAAAAAATTTACGGTTTTAAACGTATTTCAAGTTTCTAAAAATAAAAAAGATCATCACAATTGAGATGGGGTGGGTGGGCGGGGTTTATATTTTGCTTTTTTTTTTCTTAATGTACATAGTATTCTTTGAACAACACGAGACTCAAAAACATGTTTTTAATTTCTCGTGAAAAATAAGCATTTTGCAATTAAGCTCCGCCCTCTTGATTCACGACGAATAAAAAAAATCATCAGAATTGAGACAGGGTGGGTGGGCGGGGCTTATATTTTGTCGTTTTTCTTAATATGTATATGTAGTCGTCTTTTCAGAAAAAAGGCAAATTTAAGGCCCGCCCACCCACCCTGTTTCAATTCTGATGATTTTTTTTATTCGTCGTAAGTCGAATTGTAAAATCTTTATTTTTCTACGAGAAATTACCGTGTGAAATATGTTCTTATATAATCGTGTTACACAAATAAAACTTGAATAATTAAAAAAGAAAACTAAAGTTTCTAGAAATAAAAAAATCATCACAATTGAGATGGGGTGGGTGGGCGGGGTTTTATATTTTGCCTTTTTTTCTTATTGTACATAGTATTCTTTGAACACGAGACTCAAAAACATGTTTTTAAATTCTTGTAAAGTAATAAGTATTTTGCAGTTAAGCTCCGCCCCCTTGACTCACGACGAATAGAAAAAATCATCACAATTGAGACAGGGCGGGTGGGCGGGCTTACATTTTGCCTTTTTGTTTCAATATGTGTAGACTTCTTTTCACAACATGAAACTTAAAACATGTTTAAAATGGAAAATTTGTAAAAGGAAATATCAATTTTGCAATTAGGCTCCGCCCCATAGTTGTAAAATCTATATTTCCTTGCAAAAATGACCATTTTAACCGTGTTCTAAGTTTCTTGTTGTGAAAAGATGACTACACGTATTAAGAAAAAAAAAGGTGGAAATCTGGTGAAAACAAAAATTCAAAACAGTGTCAAAAAATTGTTCAACTTGAAATCAAAATAGAAAATTTTGACAAAAAATTAAAACTTTGTGAACATAAGACAAATTGGCTTTAAAAACTTTTTGACTAATTTTGATTTTATTTTGACGAACTTCATTTTTTCGACCATTTTTGACCACCTTGAAAAATTACGATAATCATTATTATTATTGTTGTTATTATTGTTATTATCAAGGTGAAGGAGGAGGGCTGCCTCACTCGGACCGTCATCAACCGCTTCTGCTACGGCCAGTGCAACTCCTTCTACATCCCCAAGAACCCCAAGCGCCGGCACCGGCACCTGCCCGCCAGCGAGGAGACCGAGGACGAGGACCAGAACGGGCCCGCCTTCAAGGCGTGCGCCTTCTGCCGGCCCAGCAAGTTCACCTGGGTGACCATCACCCTGAAGTGCCCGTCCATGGTGCCGCCCCTGCGCAAGAAGCGCGTCCAGCGGATCAAGCAATGCAAGTGCATCGCGGCGAACGTAAACTGACGCCGCCGAGCCGAATCCAGCCTCTAGGAGTTTAAGAGTGTTCGCCGCGCAGTTTTTGCCGCTGAAGTGGTTCTCACACGGTCAATTAGCCGAACTGGTTTGCCGTACTCTCGCAATTAGCTCGGGCGTCGATTTTCTCGGCGGACGAGGAAACGCGACGTTCTGCCGGAGGATTGTGATAAGGATGAGAATGAAACGTAGACGTCGTAGGCGACGAGTGCTAATAAACGTTCCCAACTACATTAATAAGTGTACAAACATTAAACGGCGCCACAAACCTACATGCTGAGTGGGTACTGATCATTAAAGTTGTGTTGATTTCTATTTATACTTTTGTTATTAAACGGCCTACATGGCCCCAAAATCGGACTTTTTCGGACGGGTGGAAAAAGGCCGGCTGGGGCGTAGGAGGCGCTTTCTAAACGCCGACTTCGCGGCTCGGGTTAATGCTTTTGGCAGGTGCCGGACGGTAATGAGAGGTGAAAAATCGCTCTGACGTCTTTTGTCGGAGGGAATTTTGCTGAAATTTGTGTAACCGTTTCAATTCGTTTTTTGCTTGCCTTGGACGTCGCCGTCTTCAGCAGGAGTCTAGAGTAGTACAAGATAAGACCGACTAAAACATAACGTGACTAACTTCAGCTGTTCAAGTTCCTACTATTTTTAGTGCTGTAGTCGATAAGGGAATTAGTCGTTAGTTCGTAATGAGTAAATTATTCTTATTTATACCCATAACACAGTTTCCATTGGTCCCTCGACCATGTTTATCCGAGAGGATCCATGTACGCGATCCCACCTAATCGCTTTAAAGGCTATGAAGATTTGTAAGTCTGAATATAAAGATAATTGTTAGTATTAACATTTAACAGTGTTATTTTATTGTTACACGTAGTTCTTTCTATCGTATTGAATAAAAATAAACACAGTGATCGGAATGTTTTATTTATTCGCGGCGCCAGCTGGTGCGTCGACACTTGGAGTGGAAGTGCAGAAGGCTGCTGAGTTGAGTCTGCTTCCTGGAGATTTCGTCAAAGGAACTTGACCTTAATTTACAACAGTTAAGTTTTTCGAAATTCTTCAGAAAAGAAATTAAGTTCCTTCAATTTTGTTAGCCAATAGTCCTGTTTTCCTTTTTAAGATATGAGAACTTTTTTCTTCCAAAGTGCAGATTTCAAAATATTTGACGGTTTCGCACCTGAAATTGAAAAAATGAAGATGGCGAAGAAAAAGTTCGAAAACTGACTAACACAAGTCCAAAATTTAAATTTAGTTATTTCAGAAAAAAGAGGAAAATTTTGGCAAGAAACAAAAGTCGAAGTTTTAATAAAAAGCTTTTGTGGGCGTCACATATTTTTGACATTTTTTCCTATGTTTACACTTGATTTCAAAACACTTCAGGTTTTACTCAAGGTGAAAAAATACAGAAAAATCAAACTGGCTACAGTTTGCGTCGAATTCCTTTAAATTTCGAATTTTGAAAATTTTTATATATTTCTTATGAAATGCCAGAATTTTGGCAAGAATAGTCAAGATTTTGCGAACAGAAGTCAAAATTTTAATAAAAAGTTTTTGTCGTTATCACAAATTTTGTCTTTGAAAATGATATCTCAAAACATTTACTTTTTTCGTACAAAACTGTCGAGAATTTCAGAAAAAGGGAAAATTTTGGCAGGAGCAGTCAAGAATCTACGAACACAAATCAAAATTTTAATACAAAGTTTTTTCGCGATCACAAATTTTGACTTTTTTCCATGTTCACATTTGATTTCAGTAGTATCAAGGTGAACAATGAAGATGTTGAGGAAAAAGTTCCAGAATTGAAAAATACTTCATTCCAAATTTTAAACCTTGAAACGTGTGAAAAGAAGAATTAAAACGTAGCACTTACACAGAAAAATTAAATTTGCTGTAGCTTATGACGAAAGAATTTTGAAAATTTTGATTATTTCAGGAAGTGCCAACTAGATTTCAATACATTTATCCTTTTCCTACAAAAATTACAAAAATTTTACTTTACATAATATCGAGGTCTTAAGTTCCAGATAGAAATAATATTTTGGAGAAAAGAAAAAAGTCTAAAAAAAATTTTTTTTTTTGTAAAGTGCCAGCTAGATTTCAAAACGTTTACGCTTTTCTTACAAAATTATCGAGACCTCCAGAAAAAGGGATAATTTTGACCTAATCTGACCTGACCTGATCCCACTTGAGGTGATCTGACCTTCAGATAAAGAGAAAATCTTTCAAAATCTTGACCTGATCGTCAGAAAAAGGAAAATCTTGGTAAATCTTGACTTGATCTGACCTGAGCTGATTCCATTTCGGCTGACCTGTCCTTCAGAAAAAAGAAAATCTCGGCAATTCTTGACCTGTTCTGACCTGACCTAACTTTCAGAAAAAAACGGAAAAACCTGACAAATCTTCATCTGATCTGACCTGACCTGAACCCACTTGAGCTGACCTGATCATCAGAAAAAGGGAAAATTTTGGCAAATCTTGACTTGATCTTCAGAAAAAAAATCTTGGCAAATCTTGACTTGATCTGACTTGACCTGACCTTCAGAAAAAGGGAAAATCCTGGCAAATCTTAACCTGATCTGACTTATTCTTCAGAAAAAGGAAAATCTTGGCAAATTTTGTCTTGGTTTGATTTGACTTGATCCCACTTGATCTGATCTGACCTTCAGAAAAAGGGAAAATCTTTAAAAATCCTGACCTAATCTACAGCAAAAGGGAAAATGCTGGCAAATTTTGTCTTGGTTTGATTTGACCTGATCCCACTTAAGCGGATCTGACCTTCAGAAAAAGGGAAAATCTTTGAAAATCTTGACCTGATCTTCAGAAAAGGAAAATCTTGGCAAATCTTGACTTGATCTGACCTGACTTCAGAAAAAGGGAAAATCTTTGAAAATCTGGACCTGATCTTCAGCAAGAAGGAAAATCTTGGCAATTCTTGACCTGCTCTGACCTGAACTTACCTTCAGAAAAAAAGACAAAAACTTGGTAAATCTTCACCTAATCTGACTTGAGTTGATCCCACTTGAGGTTTTTTTTTCACAAAAAGGAAAAATCTTTGAAAATATTGACCTAATTTTCAGGAAATGCGAAAATCTTGGCAAATCTTGACTTGATCTTCAAAAAAAAATCGTGGCAAATCTTAACCTGATCTGACCTCATCTTCAGAAAAAGTAAAACCTTGGTAAATCTTGATCTGATCTGATCAGATATGACCTGACCAAAACTTCAAAAAAGGGAAAACCTTAGCAAATCTCGATCTGAACCAACCTGAGCTGACCTCATCTTCAGAAAAAAGGAAAATCCTAGCAAATTTTGACTTGGTTTGTTCCGACCTGATCCCACTTGAGCTGATCTCACCTTCAGAAAAGGCTAAAATCTTTGCAAGTCTTGATCTGATCTGCAGAAAAGGAAAATCTTGCCAATCTTGACTTCATCTAATCTTCAGAAAAAGGGAGAATCTTTGAAAATCTTAACCTAATCTTCAGCTAAAGAGAAAATCTTGGCAAATCTGGACTTGATCTTCAGAAAAGGAAAATCTTGGCAAACCTTCACTTGATTTACATGACCTGACGTCCAGAAAAAAGGAAAACCTTTAAAAATCTTGACCTGATGATCAGAAAATGGAAAATCTTGGTAAATCTTGACTTGATCTGACCTGACCAGATCTCACTTCCTCTGACCTGTCCTTCGGAAAAAAGGAAAATCTTTACAAATCCTGAATTGATCTTCAGAAAAACAAAATCTTGGCAAATCTTGACTTGATCTGACCTGATCTAACCTTCAGAAAAAGGGAAAATCTTGTCAAATCTTGACCTGATCTGCAGAAAAAAATCTTGGCAAAACTTGACTTGGTCTGACCTGACCTGATCTTGCAAATCTTGACCTGATCTGCAGAAAAGGAAATTCTTAGCAAATCTTGACTTGATCTGAGCTGAGTTGACCTTCTAAAACGGGAAAAACTTGGCAATTCGTAACCTGACCTTACTTGCCCAGATCCCATTTGAAATGAACTAACCTCCATAAAAAGGGAAAATCTTTGAAAATCTTGAAATAATCTTCAGAAAAAGGGCAAATCTTGGCAAATCTTGACTTGATCTTCAGAAAAAAAATCTTGGCAAATCTTGACTTGATCTGACTTGACCTGACCTTCAGAAAAAGGGAAAATCCTGGCAAATCTTAACCTGATCTCTGACTTAATCTTCAGAAAAAGGAAAATCTTGGCAAATTTTGTCTTGGTTTGATTTGACCTGATCCCACTTGATCTGATCTGACCTTCAGGAAAAGGGAAAATCTGTTCAAATCTTGACCTGATCTACAGAAAAAAATCTTGGCAAAACTTGACTTGCTCTGACCTGACCTGACCTTCAGAAAAAAGGAAAACCTTTAAAATCTTGACCTGATGGTCAGAAAATGGCAAATCTTGGTAAATCTTGACCTGATCTGACCCGACCAGATCTCACTTCCGCTGACCTGTCCTTCAGAAAAAGAAACCCTTGGCAAACCTTGACATGGTCTGACCTGACTTGACTTTCAAAAAAAGGGAAAAACTTTACAAACCTTGATGTGATATGACATGACCTGATCCCACTTGAGGTGACCTAACCTCCAGGATAAGGGGAAATCTGTGTATATCTTGACCAAATCTTCAGAAAAAAAAGGGAAAATTTTGGCAAATCTTAACCTGATCTAACCTGATCTTCAGAAAAAGGGAAAACCCTGGCAAATTTTGACTTCGTTTGATCTGACCTGATCCCACTTGAGCTGATCTCACCTTCAGAAAAAAGGGAAATCTTTGCAAATCTTGGCCTGATCTAACCTGATCTGATCCCACTTGAGCTAACCAAACCTTCAGAAAAAGGGAAAATCCTCGAAAAACTTGACATATTTTTCAGAAAAATGCAAAATCTTGTCAAATCTTGATCTGATCTTCAGAAAAAGAAAACCTTGGAAAATCTTGACTTGATCTGACCTGATCTGATCTTCAGAAAAAAGGAAAGTCTTGGCAAATCCTGATTTGATCTGACCTGACCGGATCTTCAAAAAAAAGGGAAAAACTTGGAAAATCTTGACCTGATCTGACCTGACCTGATCCCACATGAGCTGACCTAACCTCTAGAAAAAGGAAAAATCTGTGAAAATCTTGACCTAATCTTCAGAAAAAGGGACTTGATCTGACTTGATCTGACCTTCATAAAAAGGAAAAATACTGGAAAATCTTAATCTCATCTGACCTGATCTTCAGAAAAAGGAAAATCTTGGCAAATCTTGACTTGATCTGACCTGACCTGATTTTCGGAAAAATTGACAAATCTTGACCTGATCTGATTTAACCTAATCCCACTTGTCCTGATCTGACCTTCAAAAAAATCGGAAATCCTGGCAAATCTTAACCTGATCTGATCTAATCCTCAGAAGAAGGGAAAATCCAGGCAAATCTTCATCTGATCTTACCTGACTTAATCCCACTGGAGTTGACCTGACCTTCAGAAAAAGGGAAAAATCTTTGAAAATCTTGACCTAATCTGACATGATCTTCAGATAAAGGAAAATCTTAGCGAATTTTGACCAGATCTGATCTGAACTGAGGTGACCTGACCTTCAAAAAAAGGGAAAATCTTAGAAAATCTTGACCTAATCTTCAGAAAAAAGAGAAATCTTGGCAAATCTTAACCTGATCTTACCTGTTCTTCAGAAAAAGGAAACACCTTTTCAAATCTTGACTTGATCTTCAGAAAAGGAAAATCTTGCCAAATCTTGACCTGATCTGACCTGATCTGACCTGATCTTCAGGAAAAGGGAAAACCTTGGCAAATTTTAACTCTATTTGATCTCATACGAATCGACCTGATCTGACACGCCGTTCAAAAAAAGCAGAAAAACTTGGAAAATATTGACCGAACCTGACCTGACCTTC